CATAAACACACACCACAAACACAATGCCATATCCACAGCTTTTTATGTCATATTATGCCATAGGCCATATAATTCCACAGGCAATAGAACATTTACTATTAGGATTTTCCTTGGTGGCATCTTCAGAGTGATGTTAATCATCTCAATAAATTCATCAAAGGGATATACAGACATGCCAGCTGTATGGCCTTTTTATCATATGGAATTCATTCAATCCTACAGCTCACATATATGTTTCCAGAGCTATTAATCATAGCATCGATCCTAAAGAGAGCAGAGGATGATGTTCCTTTCATCTTCCATGAGTGGACAATTTATTTTGATCCAATTAAAAGGTCATTCAGTGGGTTTCTCACATAGGCAATATGTGTAAATAGCAGTGGCGAACCGTGTCTGTTAGAGCTAGGCCTTTAGTTTGGTCCATAAATGTCAGAAATTTGGAAAAAAACCTCTATAACAATGCTAGTTTCTGCTAGCAGATGGGATTCTAGTAGTATGTTAGCACTAAGCTAATGGCAATTCACATAAACAATTTTTGAACGTTTTAACTAAGACATTTGAAGCTTGTACTTGCACTTGCAGTGACATATTTAGCACTTCCAGAAGGCCTAGAGTGACCTTTTTCTCACAAAATCGGTCCTACCCCATTATAAATCAAAATGATTAATTGATTCCAATGTCTATTTTTAATTATGTTGGTGCTTAATTTGACATAATAGGATGTCAGTTCAGCTCCTGAAGGCCTATCCAATGAGAGAGCTAGTGTGGCTGTATCTATCTGGATACCACTAAGAAAAAAAATCCTGATTAGATCATTTTCCATCAAGTGTCTCAAGAATTTAACCCTTTCCCATAAAAGTTATCAATGAAATAAGAGTATTACTACAAAACTTGCAACTAGCATAGTAATAATTTTGAATAAAAATGAACTAAGAATTACAGACATATTTTTATAATTCACAGAAATGATTAGGCGTTCTCTGAACACATAGAAGGTCCTGAGGGTCCCTGTCTAATGTATATAGTTCATCTTCATCAATAAAGTAGGCAGATACATTTTTTGCTTACTTTCTATATTTTTCAATATTAAAATTTTACAAAAATATAACAATCTTATAATTGCACATCCATGTACATTAATAGAAATGCAATTTTTCCCCATCTTTATCTAATCAGCACTCTCTCATCTGTGGAACATATTACCTGAGGTGTCAAGATATTCAGCGGGGACAGGAAAATCCTTAGTACATATTTCTTGTGAATTTGCGTGCCACATTACTGCAGATATGCACCTGCTTCAATTTGGAAATCTGTGCTGGAGGTCTGGGCTCAGCAAATGCCTTAAGAGTTGACAGATGTCTTTCGTGGGGTCATTGCAGATGGTAGTGATTTCAACCAACGGATTTGACAAAACACCTACTGTATCACACCTTTATCCAATCAGTGTGTCAAAATGTTTTAGGTCCTGTCCAATGCAAAAGCCTAGTGTAACCTGCCTTTGTGTTGGTCCCACATATAAAGGACATAACTACTTTTAAATGGGATGTTTTAATGATTGAGCAATCTTCAGCTTTAATGTAACAAAAATGTGACCAAAAGACATTAATTTTTATTGGCTTCATTGCCTGAAATGACCCTTAGAGAATGATACAGTTAACCTAACAAACATTTCATGTGTTGTTTTGTCTGTTCCCTTGCTAATACTTCTGTCATTATCTCTGATTGGGTCAAGCACATGACACAGACACTCAAACATACCCAATGATTGTAAATACGAGGCTGAACAGAGCACAAGCCTGGAGAGCAGATGCTTGGGTCAAGTCCCTCCTCCTTCACTATACGTTTGATAAATTAGATGCACACTGGGACAGTGTTTGGACAAGGTAATTCACCAGGCCAAATATATGGTCCCTGCAGGGCTTTCTTCAACCATCTGTCCTCATTACTTGATTTATCAAAATGGCGGTATCCACAAGAATATTATAAATCTGTGGCCCCTTAAGTGGTTTCCAGTGATTACGGCACACATCTAAAACTGAAGTATTTCACTGATGACAGTGTGCATTTGTATAGCATTATGTCTGCCACTCTTTGAGAAATTTGTCTGGTTCATAAGTTTGCCTAACAAAGGCTGCAGTCTGTAGGCAGTAACCGGGAGCTTATGGCAGCCTAAGTGGAGCGCTCATCACGTCCATTACCCTGAAACTTCATAAGGGGGAAGGAAGCCACTCTAAAAAATGAATGCAACTAAACTAAACTTAATCAGGGCAGTCTGAGAATCTCAATTATGAATTAGATCTTAAGGATTGTGGGGAACTGCTGGAATTAAAGACAGAGTGTGAAGATGAGGGCAATAAAGCTTTAGTGGTGGAGTCATTGTAGCAGTTCTCCCCAGTTAATGATGTATGAAGAAGCTTTGATCACGCAAGCCAGCAGAAACCTACAACTGTGCCAAAAACAGTGGGAAAATATGCTGCTTTCTGCCAACAACTTACTGACTAGTAGAAAGAAATTCTCTCCGTATACAGTTTTATTCATAAATTCTCATCTGAAATCCATTGTATTACAAAAGGTCCTTCATATTTTACACTCAAGGAGCTAGATGATTAAGTGAGCAAATATTTGACTTTCCTTTATCAATCTTTCACATCTGTACACCTGGGTATTTTTAACAAAAAATCACTACCACATTTAGTGCAGTTTGTCAAATTTGGTTTTAAAAACAAGTAGGTTAGGAACTTATTAATGAGGACCTCTTGGTGATTATTAAATACAGTACAAATGCCTCACATACAACTTCTTTAAATACTTTTAAGTCTAAAGGTAAGTCTACCTTAAGTCAATACTGCGTGAAACTGAAAACCATAACTACTCAAAAGATGAAAGCATGCTTATTTTCAAAAAAGTTCTTCCAGCCAGGCCTAATGTTTTATTTCTTAATCAGTAAGTATTCTCTGCTGACATCATACATTGTTCTTTAATTCCTCAAAAGGCGCCACTTTTCTCCAAGCTTGTAGAACACCTCATACATAAATAAAGACAAAGACAAAAATACCTCAATTGTCACATATACTGCACATTTCACAGAATGGCTGTACAGTATTGAAAAACATGAACATTAAATTTCAGATGTTCAGAGGTGGTGTTGCTTGATAACACAGTTTATCAGAGCAAATATATTAAAACTCTGACAAGCTCATCTATTACAGTGACATATTTGTCAAAGACTTTTCATGTCCCTGTACTTTCATGTTTGTATTTTAAACTCTAATTGATGAAAGAGGGAAAAAGTGAGAAGGTTGAGCTGATTCTTTTTATTAGTGAGTATGATGTATAAAGCCTGGGCGGCTACTCTTTCATTCAAAAAACTCAGCCAAATGTCAGAGCCCAAAGAAATTAATAGAAACCATAAAACATGTGCCATTAAAATGGACTCAGAGTTCTGGCAAAGTTTCAGATACATATTATATCAATTTATTTTTTAATTCAGCAAATGCTTTGCAGATGTCTCATATGCTTTGTACTTAAGCAGCAATACTTAATGCATCTCTATGGTAAAGGAAACGACATGCTAAACTGTTACAGTGTGCAGTGTATGGCTTAGCCATTGTGGCTATAGTCTACACTGTAATTCAACATAGACAGGCACTGACCACATACATCATCAAACTGGCGAAATGACAAAAACGTACAATACTGTGTAAAAGTCAGAGAATGCCCTTAACTTTTTCATATTCAGATATTTCTGGCGAGATAAAAGACAATTCACTTGCATAAGGAAGGGGAAAGTCAAAGAAAAGTGAGTGAATAACAGGAAATGGGACTCCTAACAACTATGCAAAACCTTGTAGGCCACCAAAACTATCAATACCAGATAGAAAAGCAGTAAGTATACTTCCTACTCTGAAAGCTGTCAAGAAGCTATTATTGAGGAAATACATAGATAAAAAAGAAGAAAACTTGCAAATCAGAGACGCTGTTGGTGCTCTCTGAACAACAGAGACTCTGCCCCAGAGTCCAGACCTCAACATCACTGAATTACTTGGATCATAAGAAACGGAAAATACAACTAACTTCAAAGACTAAACTTTGGAGATGAAGAAAAATATCCCAGCAGATTTTTATGAAAAACTCTTGTACTTAAAGGCTGTTTTGACAGGAAATGAAATAAATGAAGAGTGATCACTGACTTTTGCACAGTACTATATGTCTATATGTCTATCAGACTCTAACACTTCCTCTGAATCCCCCACTTATAATGCATTATAAATGCATTTATAAAGTATTATATGGCATGTATAATTCTTTATAATACCAGGCATACGTTTGTATAATTGCCCTTAAGTAGTTATAATTTCATGCACAAAACTTTGTTGACAGTAATAACTATAACTACATTTAACACTTTTAACACTTCAAGACCTTTATTACAGACTTTAAGTGAGTGAAAATACAATTTCAGTATATAAGATCTTGTAGAGAATTATAAGCGCTCTTTACGTTAAGTGAGTTTAGGCTTTGTGTTAAGTGAGACAATAATGTGCAAAATGAGTGGTGTGGTAAAGTTACTCTGCAGTTCATGCCATTGAGGGCATAATAAAAACTAAAAATATAATAGTAAATTAAAGTGGCTGAAAACACAGCTTTTTAAAAAATTCTTTGTACAATAAAGACAATGTCCCCCGTGTTTTTTTTCCTCAAGAACACAAGCCAGCTTTCACAGACAGTGAGGGGATTCACAGACCAGACCTGCAGCACATTACAGAAAAACACCAACAGACTTACACCGTCTCGTCTCTGTGTTCTACTCTGTTTTACAGTTGTCTCACTCTTTAAACAGGCAGTCATTTTCAAATAATGCTTAATTTCGTCTATAAATACAGGCAATAATGTATTTTGTTTTGTATACTTACATTTATAATCACCACCCTCTGCTCTCAGAAAGCCTCGAGAAACGACATCAACGCGCGCCGAGAGGACGTCATCACTCTGAGCCGACACGGAAGCGCGCGGTAGTTTTGAAAATAACAAACCGCGGTTTCGCTGCTCTTCGCCAAAACTGTTTATCAGCCGTTAAAACCCGAGTACAGCGACGCAGACATGTCGAAGAAAGCGCCCAGGGCAGTCCTGAAATCTCACATGAGAAAGAAATCGGACACTCGAGTCGGAAAGAACGCTGATCTGATGGTGAGTCTGAACAAACGGAAAAAAGATCTGACGAGACGAGAACTTTAGTCTGTTCACCAGAACCAGAAGAACCAGCAGCGCTGCCTCCCTGATCCATACTCTCTCAGACCCTCACACTGCATAAGTATTTAGCTTGACGAACTAATGTTGATTTAGTTCTGAACGGTGTGTTTTTGTTAGTTTGTGGTTAATCTGGTCATAATAACAGGCTAACTCTCATAATAGTCCGGAAAAGAGCCCCTGCCTGCTGCACGTCTCCACCTCAAGAGTTTAATCATTGAGCTTTAAGTTCACATTATCTGGAATGAGAAATCTCACTGAGAAATGCAAACTGAGGACATTCTTACAATGTTATAGTATGTAGGCTACAATAATGTGTAATATGTATAATAATATGCTTGCAAAAATATGCAATATTTATAACAATATACATACCCTAATACCAGCTTGTGTATTTAAGAGTCTACATGACATGAAAAGCTATTTAGCTGCCAGAAAATGATCATTGCAGCCTATTCGGTTCATAGCTTTCTGAACTGGCTCTCAGTGATTGAGTGGCACGCTGTCTGGTACAGGTAAGATCTGGACATTTATAAACACCCATGACTGTATCATTTTACTCATGTCTTAATTATATATAAAAAGCTAATTCATTACTTGGTGTATCATGTTCCATAATAGTTAATGTCTGAGGTCAACACTGCTAGAATGGCAGGAGCTTTTACTAAACGAGAGAAAAACGGCTAAATCCTGTTTCTTGGCATCTTAAAAGTTAGTCTTCACCTTTATCAAGTACAGTATCTAAGTGGGTATCTAGTGGAGTGTCAAGGAGCAATGTATACTCCTAGCTTTGGCTTTCCCTTATACTAGTTTTGGGAATTCTCCTTATGCACAATGTGCTTTTTCCTCATGGTTTTTCTTTTTCGTGTTGGGATTGAAATAGTCTTAACACTTAACACTATTGCGGTTTCATGTTACACCTGATATCTCAAATACTCATTTAACATCCCTTGGTGCCATCATTGAATGATACATTTTTATATTTTAGCAGGGTCGAAAAATGGGGCAAACGGGCGACAAAAGTTTACTGTTGGGTAAAAATTTTGCCACTTTTTAAAACATATATACAAACATAAATAAATGTTTTTAATATATAATTTGGTGCCTGCCCGATCTCATCCGATGTCAGAAGCTTTTATTATTAGTTTAAGTACAGAAATACACTTTATTTTACTTACAAAAGTACTGCTATTCATGGTAATACTGATTGTATTTTTTGTTTGTTTACTTGACCTTCACATTATAGTATATAGCATTTTCACACTACTTTAGGATTACTCTTAAAACACTTCAGGAAAATTATGATCATGTTTACTTTCCACCACAGTTCACTTCACTATTCTTAGTAACCTGTTTTAATGAGTAACCACATGTGTTTAGAAACATTTTCAGGCAATCTGAATGACTTACATCGTCACATTTACTCGTGGTTTTGATGGTCACTTTGATGTGGCAGTTTTACAGCATTCAACTGGATGCAACTGGCTTGCCCTAAATAGACATTTAATGTAATCTGTAGTGTAATGTAATTTTCAGCAGAGGCTGCAAATATCGTGCCTATAATAAAAACTGTAAAAAGAATTAATATACAGGTTTTTTGCTTCCTTTCCATTTCCCTGTCATAAGCATACTGCAATAAGAGTGTTTAATTAACAAATCCTAGTTCTGAGAATCTCTGCCTTAAAACAAAAGCTGTGCTTCTGTGGTTCTCTCATCACTGGCATACCATGGTTGATCTGATTATTAGCAGATATGGAATTTTGGACTGTGCCTGTAAACATTTAGCTGATTTGTTAACTAAACTTTTATTCACGCAGGCATGCCAAACTTTGTCAGCTTGTGATTTAATATGCTGTTGCAGAGATAATTTGATGACTCCCATTCTCTTTCATTTGGTATGAAAAAATGAGAATCTTTTTTGATGTGTTAAATTTAATAGATGAACTTTCTCTTGCAGCGATGAGCTTTCTCTTGTAGCTGGCCAGGTGTTGACATTCACAAAAACTGCAAAGCTGAGAAACATTTAACTAAAGATGATGAATATTAGCTACTGAGGTCTATGGCTGTAAATAACCGTCAGAGGTTTTTAGTTAACAGTGTAGGCTAGTTGTTTAAGCTATTAGTTTAACCTTTCTTGTGCCTAATGAATTGTTATTTATATGTATTTTTGCGGTCTGGGTGTTTTGCATTGTATGCAATCTTTTTTTTTGTTTGTTTTTGCTTATGCACTCCTCTAAATTGATGGATGCAGATCGCTTTATAACATATGCCTTGTGCACATTTTTTTAAGTTAAAACAAACTGACTATGATTAAAGGAACCTTCTGTTTTCAGAAGGTGAGTCAAGTGGTTAAAACTGCTTTACTTCTTTTGCTGTGGGTCATTTTCTGTTTATAAAATAGGAAATGTTATTGGACACCAGAACATTCTCACCATTCTCTTAAAAAGAACACATCATGTCTGAGAATCAGGGGAGAACTGTACCTGCAGTAATAGGTCCTAATTAAGAAGCTATTGCAGCTGGTCGTGCTTTATTGAGACTGGAGGTGGGGACCCTTCTGAGATATAAAAACCCACGTGAAAGGTGCACTGCTTTACAGGGGTCTAATCCAGCCATTAAACTTAAAGAAAGACTGAGGGGAAAATGAATAAAAGACTTTTTCATCATTCTGTGAGTATGTGCTGGTTTGATCTGGTTTCCTGGTTTTAATGGCAAATTCCTAATAAGACCCTTCACACGTTGCCTTACATGCTGTTATGACTAAGCCTAACAATAGTGGTCTTGGAATTACTAGAGCTAGACATACTAAAGATGTATAATGAAAATATTTAGTTGCAAATACCTTGTACGCAGAATCTAGTTTCTAAACTATGAAGTCACTCATGTTAAGCCATTATTTGCTTCAATTTTGGTTCACAGCAAACGTCCTCTGATCATGTTTGTGTCAAATGATTCAGTAGTGGCTGGTCAGGATCCCCTCACAAGTGCTGTTTTGGCCTTAAAGCCCCATTTTCATTGCTCACAGTTATAAGCGCTGCCTTAAGGGTGGGGCAGTGGCTTAAGATCGGCCTTTGTTCCTTGGGTGAACTGAGATGGACTCAGCAGCATTTGATGGTTGATTGAACTTGAAAATAATCAGCTTCATCCTGCAGGGAAGCTGTGAAAGTGTCTGTTTTTCTTTTTCCAGATTTTTCTCCAAATGGTGTGCCCCCTTTTTTCCCTAACTAAAGCTTTTGCCCCTGTGTTAGAGAAATGAAGAGGGAGTACAAATCAAGACTGTATTCACTGCTGTGTTTAGGAAACATGGGCCAAGTGCCCTTGGCATTTCTCACACCAGGTTAATGGAAGTTTTTTCAAGTTGGCTTGGCTTGTTTACCGTAATTGTGCAATGGCTTGCAGAAGACCGTTTGGGCAGAAACCAGTGGCTGCTTCTGAACATGTTTATTAAAAAAAAGGGAGAAATTCGGTGCGAATGTCAGAATGTCGTGGTAGCCTAAAGTCATTTTCCACTGGAGTTTAGGATTTTTACATTTATTTGAGTGGCAGTCTTCAGTCGAGCTCCTTCTGGTTCCATGAAAACAGCTAGAATTTGAAAGATTTTCCCCACTCAGGGGGACCTTTACTTACTAATAAATAGCTTAACAATGTAATTTACTTAGAAACGTTCTTTTCCTTTTCTGTTTTGAACACTCTAATTTTCAGGGTTTTTGGCAGTTTAAAAGTAGCAGTCTGAGGCAGCGACACTCTTGGGAGGCAGCCGCTCTCTTTTAATCTGCAGCTCTGCTCAAACATTTTTTGTGCGCTCCTTTCCTGTCTGAAGTTTCCATGTGTTATGTAGGTATTTGCGAGGCACTGCAGAGAGCCCTCAGCTTTAATCAGTTCAGTCGAGTCGTTATGTTTTGGCAAAGGCTTTGGCACAGTGCAAGTTTGTGCTTCTCAGTTTTCATTCTCCTAAAGATACTCTTAAGACCAGCTGTTGGAGAAATGTTCAGACGCCCCCGCGATGACCTACAATTATGAAAATGAGGTATTAATAGATTTAAATTACATCCAAATGGTCATGTAGATGCACGCTGAAATCATTAGCTGTGTTTAGAAAATGTGCTGGATGTGGTTCAGACACTGTAGCAACTTATTTCATAAGACGAGAGAAAGAACAGGAGATGGCATATTAGACCTTTCCTATAACATTGGTTTGAAGCAGCAGGAGGTGTGTGTGAGTTGCTTGATTACTGCATGTTACTGTGCACATTTAAATGAGTTCATGCTTACAATGTGGTGAACCAGTGCTCGTCCACATTAACTCTACATCTTGAATCTTTAAAATGTGCCCATTGTGATAGGCTGGAGTAACAGCAAATTATTATTCATCATTGAGATCTGTGCTTTGAATTTCATTATGGTTATAAGATACATTTATGTACCCATGTTCTCTGTGCCTCTGCATCACTGAAACCATTTAGTAACGCCTAAAGTGTCAGAGGTGCTTCATGTCTACATTAAGAGCTGAAAAGTAAAACACTACTTGTGTTGAGAAATGAGCTTCCTTCTACTTGAATCTGTCATAGTTGTAGTTGAATTTCTTTATTTATTTGAGTTTATTTGTTTGTCTTTTGGCTAGATGCTGAGGTTTGCACAGGACTCTCAGGTTGTGTTCATGTGGCCCAAACAAGCTAGTGTGGGATTGATGAGACCTCCACTGTGGACCCCCAGTTTAGCCTCTCGTGACAAGATAGAACAAAGTGGATGAAGAGCTGAAAACGAGGCAATTTCCTGGTATAATCCTTCATAGATGCACGGAATGGTTGACTACATGGGGGGGAGACCATGATTCATGAGGAGGGCTGGAGGTTTCATCATCCTCTACAGACCCCCTATCCTGGCTAGACGTGCCACACAATTCCTGTAGTATAATCAGGCTTCACTCTGAACGAATCACTGCCAGTGCTTGCTGAAATGGGGCATACGTCAGCACACAATGCTACACTAAACAAGCTCATAAAACATGTGACTTGTTTGGCTTGTGCATTGCAATTAGAGATGTGAAGTAGTTTCTCTGAATACTTAGAAGAATAAAATGTGATAACTGCAGTTTAATCCAACAGTGTATTTTTTTGAGTGCTACTAGTTTATCCAAACACTCTGAGTGTCTGTGATTTTACAGTCATTTGACAATGAACTCCTTTGTTGTGATATAAAATGAACTTTCTGATGAAGTGGTTATCTTGTATCTGCAGGAGATGATTGTGAAATTGTCCTGCATAAAATGTTATCGGATTATCACTGATGACTCAGTCTTGGATTATTTGTGTTGTGTAATCAGGTCCAGCTAAATCTGTTGCTTGTCTTACACCGACTGGCAGAGGAGTCCAGAGTGAAGGCCTTTGAAGAGAAAACAGCTACTATCAAAGTCCACCATGTCAAAGCTGTTGCAAAGGTATTCAGTCTATTCATCCTAAAAGTGTCAGTTGTGCTTGAAAAAAGACATAAATCAGTGGTTTACACTGGAAAATGTGCTGATATAGAAAATGTTGGAAAAACTTATGTTGACTTTTTAATCAAGTTTCCCATAAGTGCGCTGTAAGTTTACCAGTCTTTCACCGAACTGATGTTTGTCTGTTTAATTTGCTAACAAATGAGAAGTCATTGATTTGTCTGTTTCCACTATTATTTTTACATCACTTTAAACAGCTCCTGTTGGTACTTGAGCTGTTACAGACACATGTTCAACCCTTCTCCCTCAATCTACTCATTATTTAAGCCTAACATCCAAAAATCTGTTGCGATGAATTGGTGTTAGACCTCTGATCAACTGGATTAAGTTCCGAATACATAATCACTTAATTAGACTGCATTGCAGACAAAACCCTGAGGCTGCTCCATTGATTCCTGCCACAGTGTTTTTTGCACCATTCAGTATGGTCGTCAGTTACTGGTGCTGCTTGTTTGTGCGATGCAGGGACTTGCTTCAGACTTGGATCAAAGTGAACATTCTTGTTTTCAGAATCAATGAGAGTAGAAAAAACACAGCCTAAAGATCAAGACCATCTTTTAATAACCTCTCTGGTGGATGTGTTTCTTCAGCTCAGCAAATTCAAAAAGAGCGATGTGTTTTTGCACCAAAGGAGTCACAGTAATGCTAAGCAGAGATCCGGGCAATTTTGAGTGAGCACGCTGCATTTATTTTTCTGACGTAGAGAAGAGTCCAGTCCTGTCCATGCACATACATTTGTACTTGGGGGCAGGGGGGTGTGAAAAAATGGTCTGGTTGCTCTGCTAAAACACAGGCACAAGCAAATATGTTAGAAATTACATGCCTTATGTGGTTCTCCCACAGGCGTCTTTAGCATGGTCACCCATGCCATACAGATTAGTATTTATAGCAATTGACAAGCAGTGAATTGAGAGGCATAATTGGAAAGTTGGTGTGTGACTGAGTTGGGGGATGGGATGTTTGAGCCTGGTTACACTTCATACATTGTCTTCTCTGGGTTTCAGAAACTGTTAAAGAGCACCCGAGGATGAGGTGAAAGTTTGCTCCTTTGAGAGACTGAAGCTGCGCAGAGGCATAAGTTTGAAGGATCCAGGTACTCTGCGCACTGCACACCAGGCTCAGCCCCTCACTGGAACCAGCATAAGACTGTCACCAGTCACCATGTGCACACAATGTCCTTTAATTTTACATGTAGTCCTAACCTGTGAGATGGTGAGTGAACCTTCCTCACAGATTCATGGATTAAATCTCTGCAGAGATCTGTTCACTGTTTCGCTCTATTACGGCTGACCTTTTGCTTTCGGATGGTGTTGGGAAACAGTTGTGTATAAACTTGGTGCATGACAGATGGTATCAGCCCCGAATATCTGCAGCCTCAAATGTTTTCCTCCTGAGTTTGTACTGTATTTTTAATTATTACCTATTAATAAACAATTTATGCCACTTAACCTGTGTAATATATTATACTCTAGCACACTCAGTTCCTCTCTCTCTGTCTGTCTCAGTTCAATTTCAGATAGCTTCACTGGCATGAATTGCAATTAATAACTTTTGCCAGAGTGATGAAAGCAGTGCTTAGTATTAAGAGTGGTTATAAAAATGAAGAAATAAAAATACATACCATGTACATACAAATGACACATGGATTGACATAAGTCATGTGACAAATATATACAAAATACTTGTATATTAATGTGCATGCATAGTAATCTGGACTGTGGTTTATGTGGTTGGTAAAACCTCTTACTTATAAGTATCTTGTTCTAAAAGGTGAACATATCTGGCCCATTGAAGCTTCTAGTGCTAATTATCTCGATGCTTGCAACTGGCCTGTGCATCTCTGCTTGTTTGGGTGTTTAAATGAACAAAGGCCTTGACCTCAGACCACAAGAAAGTAAATGTTTGGCTCTCAGTTTGTGTGTTTATCACAGGGTGTCCCACTGATGGTCACATGACCGGGGAGGCACACTGCTCTAATCCTACTGTCAGAATTAATTGGGTTGTCTCTGCTGTGGTCTCAGTGTTTTGCTAACAAAAAAGTAGCCTTTGATAGCATGTTTCTAAAAGACTAGAATGTTATCCAGACCTCTGATTATGCCTTTTTATCTTAATCCAACAAAGCATCTAGGCCCCTTCTTACCATCAGCATATTCATCACGTTTCTTTATGCTGTCTGCTTACAGAGCGAGGTCAGCCTGAGAGCGCCGAGTTTACTGTGGTCATGACCTGTCCTTCATCTTTCTTGACCAGTAGAGGGCGACCATGCTGAAAATACAGTAGTGTGAATTCAGTACTGTTGAGTGTAAAGTGACCTCACAAATTAACACATACATGATGTCCAGTTTTAAAAATGATCTATAACAATAATTGCTGGACAATGATTATTTTTAATTATGATTTTAATGATTTAAAAAAAAAAGTATATATCACACATGATGGTATACTTTATGCATGCTTAATAAAGATGATTGAAATAATTTTAAATGGATTATATATCTACATTTTTACATGGATTATATATGTAAACATCTGTCTAACAGTCGTAATTCACCTTTACATGACCATTTGCTGTTTTTTGTTACTGTGCCTTCAAGGCCCCTATATATAAATAATCTCTGTTCTGATTGGCTGTGTATATTTAGTCTTTTTCAGAAAATGCCATCTATGTTGAAACATGAGTGGACAGGGCTGCTGTAGGTTGAATAGGTGGATATATCTAAATTTGTTGCATTTTTTTTGTGGTATCACAAAAAAATAGATAAATAAACATTGATTAACATTAAGAACAGACTGTTATTGCATCTCAATTTCCATATATTAACTATATATAAACTGGGGAGTGAGTGGTACCAATTCTTGTTAAAACAGGGAGGAAAAATAGGTTTTCTGTGATATTGGGCCCTTCAAGACTTTTTTAATTTGTGGCTTTACAGCAATAACTTTATTTGTTTTAAGTACCATTTTTTTTTTCAAACTTATGTTCATCGTAACCAGTACCGAGTAGGCTCCTTTATAAAACAGTTTCTTGTTGTAAAGTCTTGGGTGGTGCTGTTGCCTGGGTTCGATTCCCTGGCTGGCCGACCAGAGTCCTTTCTGGAGTTCCTTCTGGAGTTTATATGTTCTCCCAGTATCTGTGTGGGATTTCTACTGAGTGCTACAGTTTCCTCCCACAGTGCAAAGACATGCAGTCAGATGAATTGAAGATGCTAAATTGTCCCTAGGTGTGAATGTGTGTGAATGTGTACGTCTGTGTGTCTGCCCTGTGATGAACTGTCTTTCTGCCTTCTGCCCAATGACTGCTGGGGTAGGCTCCACCACCCCCCACGACCCAGGAGGATAAGCGGCTTAGAAAATGTGTGTGTGTGCGTGCGTGTGTGTGTGGTGTTGACCTTTGTTTTATGTTGTCTAACTGAAATATTAGTGTATGAAATAGACTACTCCACATAACGAGTATAAAAATATCTATTGTACAGAATGAGGTTTTTTCTTCCTTTCTTGTGTGGTTGAGGTGGTGCGATACAGAGATCAGGGATATTCCTGGAAAACCAGAGAAAAAGATGTCAGTGAAACAGTGAGTTAAAATGCCCATTTATGTCTTATAGCATAAATGTGCTGTGATACTACAGGTTAGGAAGGAGTACACAGTAACCCAAATGCATTATAATATTGTCACACCTGTATTTGTGATTTGGTGATTGGTGACATTGTAAAACATTTCACCATGCGCACTGTGCATACATAGTCACCACTTCTATTTACTTTCATGTGGTGGTTTCAGATTGTCAGAAGTCTTTGGTCTGACCTCAGGTTTTTGTGACTCATGCAGAGTAATGAGCTAAGGGAACTGTTTCTGTTGTCTCAATGGGGTCATATTCGCTTTAGGAGGTGATGATTGTCTGCTCGCTTGCTCTGCACTGTGGCTCACTTGGCTTACGCTAAACCAAACGCTCTGCCCACAACAACGCAGAAGGTGTGAGGATGATATCACCTTAGAAACAGAAACTCTGTATGGTTCTGTTCAGAGTGAGGATTCCACCTCCACACCTGCGTATGCTGTCAAATGGCCTATGTCATGCCCTGCAGCCAGAGAGGCCTGATTTACAGAAGAAAAAAAAAATTTACTGGCCTCATGACTACCTGATGTCATACACGCACAAATAAACCTAAGTGTTAGTGTGTCAAATGGGTGCCAAGTACAAGTGGGTCTTTTGGATTTACCATGAGCAAATCAATCTGGAAACACTACTGAAACCTTCTCTCATTGGAAAGACCTTTACTGTGGAACTGAACATGTGATGTTTCTCCACTGGAACAGTACTTGCCTTTGCAGCTTTGGGCACCGCCTGGTCTCTTGGAGCGCTCTGAAACTTCTGATTCTCTCTGTTGCCTCTTGCAGAGTCTGCATTTTCTGAAGGTTCTTTGTGGTTTGCCATATTTGATGCTGATTTTCCGTTCTTATTTCATTCCTGCCTTGGACCTGCCCTTGGCTGTAGTCTTGGTCAAGAAGGTGTTTCTCTGCCCTCAAGAAAATTGTTACTGCCTAAGTCATTTGTCATGTTAGTAGCTGTTGTTTTATTTGTTACTAACTTATGGAGTAGTAGGGTAGATTTACATACTAAAAACTGGACACAAGTGTAATTTTAGATAATTTATTCAGTATTTCACAAAGTTTTTCAGTCAAAAATAATATCTATTTACAATATTTACTTTCAGATTTGTTATGAGCAAATCACGAGGTGTTTATTTTAGCATTTTTCTCATCATTTAAATCTAGTTCAGTTCAATACAGCTTTTCCCCATCGTTTTGGAATCATTTAAAGCTCCATTCATGATTCCGGACACATCTGTACATGTACAATTTCTTGTACATGGTTTTATATTATTGAAAACATCAGTTTCAAGCTTGGAGTGGCAGTGTGTCTCGGGTCACTTGTTTATGACGCAAAAGACCCCAAAACCGCACCAAGCCGTGAATGCCTTGACATGCTTTCGTGCATTTTATATCTGTACAATTTTCTGCTGGACCTGCACATGATTTTTTTTTTAATAATCTGTCCTGGGTGTGATATTAACCCAATGTGCCAACTGAAATATGGTTCTTTTTAGGAAAAAAAAAAACAGATAGAACTGAATAGAGATCAGTTTCCAAAGGTAATGGGATGTAAGTGCATAAACAAACAGTAGAGCTTCCATGCTTGATTTCATTACATCGTTGACATTGTCTAAGTCTCTGTGTTTGTTTGTTTGTTTGTTTGTATGAAAGGTACCATCATACAGGCTTCTTAGCCTGGGGCACACTTAACACCTGCATATTTACACAGCTGGATATTTACAGATGCTGTTCCAGGTGAAGAACTTTAACATACTGCCTCACTTCACTAGTTAACCCTCAGTGCTGGCTGGCTCACTGTCCCTGTCATTCGTTGACTTTTTACTCAGTTTCAATAAAGACCACCAGCCCACCCTCTGGGCGGATTCTTGCGTGGCTGGTCTGCTTCTAATCTATCTTTTGAGGTCTCGATTTGTTTTGCTTGTCCAGAACCCACAGTGCTTCAACACTACCCAAGACCCACTCTGAGCAGATTTAATTAGATAACCAAGTGAAAACACAGAATAATTGAAGTTGGACATGGTGTTAGCAGGACTAGCCTCTGGCTGGACCATAGTGTACTTCTGTGAACTTTTTTTTTTGGAAGGTGATACAAACAACGATATGTCGTCACTGCCTGAGTGAATCTGCGTCTAACGTTATGAATCAGTGAGTATGAGCATGTTTACCTTGTTAAATACCTTCATGTTCTGTAATTGTGAGATGAGTTGATGCTGATTCAGAATTAGTCATACTTCAGGTTCTGGACTGTTCTGGCTAACAGCCTAATTTGGTGGGATTACTTATTCTGTCCAGACGTTAAACTCATATTAAATTGTCATAAAGTCAAATGAAATAAAAAAGACCATTAGCATACAACTGTGACGCATAAACATTCAATATAACAACGTGCTTGTGTTATTCTTAGTATCTAAACCAGCCGCTGTGGTTCATAGATGGCTAAGTCTGATCCTAGGAGACAAGTAACAACTGTTTACACTGGTTTGACCTCAGGCAGAGAGGTGATGTAACTAGAGCTGGTAAATTCCTTGGACAGCATCCTCTAATAACAGGGTTTGTAATATTTACATGATCTTCTGAGCGAATTAGAACAAGCACGATTCAGGTGCATTTGATTACAGACTATTCCAGATCTTCATTAGTTATTGGAGGTTGAGAACTTTTGGGGGCCCTGTCTGTCCCTTCTTTCTTTTCATCTTGTTCCTAGCACACTTGCTTGTTAGACTGACTGAGATAGGCAGCCTAGTAAAAGCAATATTAAATAAGCAATGAGTAAGAATCTTGTAAGCTGCTGAAAAGGAAAGTTGTGAATAAAAATCTTTTATTTTATTACTTTAT